GGAAAAACAGTGATTTCCTGTTATCTTCTCCACAGTTTGGAATCCAGTTTTCCTTCTTTTAGACTGGTTACTACCCAAGGCTAGAGATCTCACTCTACCCTACTATTTAACTTATAGCTTGGGTGAGAAGAGACAGATTCCTACCTTTCCCGAGGGTATTTGTACAAAAGTTAACACAACAGACTAACTCATCATTTGAACTTGACATGTGGATTTCACACTCCCTGCTACTATCCCTAACCCACACATCCTGTATTTATTGATGCATTAAAGGTCAAAGGTCTTTTCTGATATGGAAGTTAGAAAATCTTTTTAAAATGACATTGTGGAAAAAAAGCTCTTACAACCAGACTTCATGAGTTACAATCAAATGCCAACATGAAATTGAAAAACAGAAATGTCAAGCTGCCATCAGATTTCTCAGTCAAGTGGGTGGGCATTTTCCTTTTTGTTTGTGAAATAGACAAAGCAATGATGCCACCAACAACAATCCTTGTGACACTCCTTCAAATCATCGCAGACGTTCCTTGTGGTTTCCTGCACAATGTCCTTAGCCTAGTCATATCAAGAAGTCTCTTTTACAGCTATGGGTTAAATATCAAGGTTCATTAGGTTCTCTTGCTACCAACCAATTTTATTTTTATCATTTCACTCCAAGCAAAGCAATAAAGCCACTAAGGTACAACGTGTGAAAAAGAGAACAGGAATTAAGAAAACAGAAGATAACTAAGTTTACCTTAGTTTGACACGGTGTCACAATTAGAGATCACCTGGTGAGAATCAAACACACTACAAAACTTTCTTCATTACAAATCATTCATGACCGAAAGTTGCACTAGCTGCTAGGTCAATGAATGCCAAATGTTTCCTTATAAAGAAAAGACTAATATTACAATTACTATTAATGAAAGAAAACTAATGAAATGTTTACATGTTTCAATGTCAAATTTCTTTAAAATGTTATCGAAATTATGAAAAATGTCAAATCTGGCATCTTTTTTTTTTTTTTTAAATGGTGAGATGTTTTCCAATTCCTGCTTATCTGTATTTGATCATCAATTACTTTTTACCATTTTGTATGAAATTTGATATATAAAATGGTTGTTAGAATGTGAATCAGTTTGTCTTCAGCATAAGATGATAGAGATTCAAAGTGTTGTGTTTCATGACTGTTACTGAATAAGGCAGCTCTGGTGTCCATAATATGTGTAGTGCCAAGTGTACTCTAAATCAGTGCTTCTCAATCTTTTTTCAGCCCATGAAACATTTTTTTCTTCAAAAAATTCAAATGAACAACTACTTTTACTTTTAGGCTGTTAAATTTTCACACTAAAATATTCAATGAAAAAACAGAGTAGTCTGTCTACATTTTAAAATTTATTTTAGTAGACAAGGATAAACACAGGATATCATAATCAATTTTGATGATATCATTCAGTCTTAATTTTGCCTATGATCTGTGGTGTTTCATATCATAATCAATTTTGATGTCTATTCAGTCTAATTCAGACTATCTTGATCTGTGGTGTTTCTCACACAAGATATCATAATCAATTTTGATGATGTCATTCAGTCTTAGTCCATTCAGCTAGTGACTATCTTGATCTGTAGTGTTTCTGACACAAGATATCATAATCAATTTTCAGTCTAAGTCTGAAAGTTCCTCTGATGTTGAGATCTAATTTATTTCTTTTTCTACTGAAAACATCCACAACAGCTGAAAATCCAGATTCCACCATCTATGTAGTAGAGAAAGAAATGATGGTTGCTTCTACATGTTGAAAAATATTTGGGTATGAGTCCTTTATTGATATGCAAACAAAGACACCTATTATAATTTTTAATTCTTTAAAGTATGAATAATTTAGACACATTTTTATGAAATGGTTGCAAATTCTCTGTGGGCCACTAGAAATGCTATGTAGATCACATGTGGTCAACCTGGACCATGTTGAGAATCACTGCTCTAAATTCTTGACTGTGACAGCACTGAGTGCACGCCTCAAAAACAAAATGCATAATCTACACTTGTAATCAAATGCATCAATACTAACTTGATGCAATGGCTAATGTTTCTGACCCATAAGACAAGATGGAGCAGACAGTTTCAATGTAATCTTCTCTTAGTGGTAATTGCAATTTATGCAGGCAGGTTTTTGGTAGTAGGAATCCAAGCAGTCGCTTATCACAGTCATTTAGCTGAAACAAAGCACTGTCAATGAAGTCTCTCAGAAAAGTAGGGGAAAAGAAAAAAGTAACTCTGACAACATAACAACAGTTGCCTTATTGTGGCCCACAATCCCTCAAGCCCACCAACCACACTGCAAGTTGCTAATTTGTATAACTTTACATCACAAACAATCAAAATCATTGCAAGCTCCAATTTCACATCACACAATGAAAAATGACCTTTGCTGTCAAGGGATTTCAAAGTTAATATGATAATCACTATACTGTACAAGCAATTCTTTGCAAAAACACTTGTGGCTGCATTTAGTGGGGAGAGGGGGGTCACTAAGCACAGTTATTAATGAACACAGAGTTCAATCCTCACTGGGTGCCTCTTTTTTATGGAGATATTACAAAGATAAACCAAACAGTGAATCACTGTTGACTAAATTTCTTTGTTCAATTTTTCTACTACTCCCTTTCATTGCAAATATATAAGATTTTACCAGCCTGTATAAAAATCTGAAACACTTCAGATTATTTTTATATATATATCTGTGGGAAAATAATGTGGGTTTCATATCCCAAATCAGAAATTCGGAGTCATAATCCCAAAAGGTCATAACTCAGTCTAAAATCAAAAATATCAAGGATGTAATTCAAAAGGGGATCAAAAATACATATCCACAACTTGCAATGCACAAGTACAGAGGCAAAAAACAGTAAGAAAAACTGCCTTCCACCTCCACAAAGAATCCTCCTGCCATTTACAGGAGCATTATTTTATTGGGGTAAGAAAGGCTGTGATTGGTCAAGGCTGGAAGGCAAGTATAAAAATCATCATATTTTGAAGTCCAGTCTTGATTTTTATTTTATTTTTTGACAAACAGTACAGAGAAGACAAATTCTTTTTTTTAATCTCTAAATAATCTAATTGAAGTTCCTTCTAATAAAATAAAATCATTTTTATTCAAAGAAATAAAACACAGACACTCATGGGATGCCCAGTATTATAATCCAAGCTGGTAGATTTGGGGGAGTAAGAATCCCAATCATGGCAGACCAGTGTTTTTTTTTTTTAATACACACTCACTAAGATGAAATATAATGCCATAATCCTTAACAATTGCTGCTTTATCATAGTCCACAATGCCTCAAAAGCCCACTAATTGCATTGCAAGCTGCAAATTTACATTACTTCACATCGTACCGAATCATGAGACTTGCTTTGATAAAGATCATTAAGGAACAAAACACACTAGTATAAAAGTCTTTTCTCGTCATTTCTTTTATTGTCTTCACAGATACATTTACTTATATCTGAATTTTTACACACATAGAAAGATAGATAATGTTGACTCTGCATGAATTGTTGCTATACTTTTGATGATAGTGTCCAATGCTGATCTTCTCAGAAAATACAATATTGGTGGTATTGAGACCTTCCTGATGCAGTCACAACTTCACCGGGCTGGTCATGTGGCAAGGATGAGTGATGACAGAATACCTAAGGACCTCATGTATAGCCAGCTTCACAGTAGACAAAGGAATGTTGGATGGCCATGGCTCAGGTATAAAGACAAGTTAAAGAGTAATCTCTCAGCTGACAATGGGTCTCATACTACAAGTTACCTTGGATAGAAATAACTTGTTTTTCCCTTTTTTTTTTTTTTTTTAATACACATTCACTTAGCTGAAACATAGAAGTCATCCCTGACAACAATTGTTGCTTTACCATGGTCAACAATGCCTCAAAAGTCCTCTAATTGCATTGTAAACTGCCAATTTACATTTATATATTATATCAAACATATCATTTATATTATATCCATGATGTAATAGCACAGATATTTCATGGACAGAATGGATTGACTTAAAGGAAAAGGAATGACGAGTATGCTTTGTTCTCAAAAAGATTTTTATATCACTAAAATATACACAAAACTATATATACATATATACACATCCCATGTAGAGAATAATATATCATATATCTACACAGCAAAGTAGAGTGTAAGGAGAAACAAAAAAGAAGGGTCTTACATATAATACGGAGATACTCCTGTATCTGGAGAAGCCATGTTTAGGACTCCAGATTCAAATGGGCTGGATTCATCTGTGTCTCAGGCGAGGACATATTCCATCAACAGGAAAGAGCCAGTCTTGGGTTTTCCCAAATTGAGGACTACAAGCTGGAGTTTTATTCTATATCTGGGAAAGATATATTCCCAAAGGAAAATGGCACCATGGACTTCTAAACTGATGAGGAGGCAAATTTAGCCTCAGTCTTAGACCCCTTACCCAGGCTAAAAGAAAACAACCTCATGTGGTGGCTGCTGTAAACAAACCTGAAATTAATTGCCGCTATGGTCACTGTATAGAGTGATGTCACTAAGTGACCATTACATGACTTATCTCCACCAAAGAGAGATAACTACATTCTGTATCCCTATACTCAATCAAACCAATCACAAGCTACTATTTTCGCATTACAGTAACATAGATTTTTGCAGGTTACATTAATTAGCCCTGACTATTCTCAACATCACCTCTAGAGAGTTCTCAGTAGGTAAGCTACTAATATGGCTTCATGACAAACCAAATCTAACTATAGTTGAACATCTCATGTCTGAGATCAGTGTATTTCCTACTCTAGCCAATGGTTAAAATATACTACCAAATAAAAGTCAGGAATTCAAACATTGACTTTCAAGGCAAAAACTTCCTCCCCCACAAGAAAGACCAATGCAACATAAAATTATTACCTGCCTTTACCATTCAAGTCGATTTGATCCTGTGCCATATTAATCTGAGTAAATATCAAGACTTACCTTGTGATAAAATTTTGGAATTATACGATAGGTGCCAGTGTTGTAACAATTATCCTCGCCTTTCCACTGGTGATAGTATGTTGAAAACAACCGAGTTTCTTCTGCCTCTTTTTCTCCTTCAGAGACAACAGGTTGGTCTGGAGATTCAAAGAGAAAACAAACAAAAAATCACATGCTCAAAAATTAATTTTAAAACACATATCATAATGTCATTTGCTCAAAAAATAGATGTGAGAGATAGACTGGGAATAGAGTTAATTTCATATAACGAGGAAAGAGAGTATGGAGAATTTGACACCAGTTGACAAGTGACGGACAGAGGGCAATAGCGATTAACCTACCTAACAAGCTTGTGTAAATGGATGACAAAACGGAGTGTGAGGGATAAAAAAAAAAAAAACCTTGCTAAAAGCTACAAAAGAAAAGGAAATTGTAGAGAACCACCACCTATGTCCTGAAGATATATGGCACATAAGAGATAAAGTCATTGCACACACTGATATTCAATGGCATTTGCTAAACTTTTATGGAAATGTTGTCTAGGAACCTACCACCCCTCTTGAAGATGAACTCATCTACAAACAAGGACGTTAAATACTGGCATGTCAAAAGACAGTGTCGGAGAAGTTCTGGGCTGAGTTAGTTATAGACTAATCAGGCGATTTCTGTACCAACTTACCAACCGAATAAACCCCCTTTTTATTGTTACATGTTATTTGGCGTTTGTCTTTATTAACCCCAAATTAACATCATAACAGTGGCGATTTAGAGATTCATTCATCACGCTGAGTGGAGAATTTTTCAACTCTAGGTGGACTACATAATTTTTTTTTTTTTTCGCACTGAAAGAAAAAAAAAAAAACAATACGTCAAACTTTGTTCTTCAAGAAGAAATAGGATTTCAACGTGCAAAAAAGAAGTAAGACTTGTGCTTATTGTTGGATATATACGTGTTTTCCCTTTTTGACTATTTTCGAAAAGTGTTTTGTGTAATCTATTACGATAATGGAAGATTTGATTGCATTAACGAAAAACTCTAGTGCAAAACCAAATTTAGCAACAAGAGCAACAAAAAACAACTTTGTTTACAAGTTCAGGAACAACTTTATTTGAAGCAATTTACAAAGTTCAGCAGCATTCAAATGATAATTCACAAAGGCTTTATTTTCAGAAGATTTGAAACAATATTTGAAAAAATTTGAAGCAAAGTTACTAAAGAATCCAGTAAATTCGTCATTCACGGGTCAAGGTATTGATAATTCTATTACCGAGTTCAAATTTAACCAAGAGGAGGGTATAACATTTCCTCGTATTTCAGAAGATTTGAAACAATATTTGAAAAAAATGTGAAGGTTGGACTGATGAACAAAAAGTGAGTTTACTTTTACAAAAGTTGGGTACAGATGAAAATAATAAGCATATGAATTTTGTCCTTCCAAGAAAAACTAGTGACATTTCTTTCAAGAAATTGTTAATACTTTATCTAGTATTTTTGGCGGCCGAGTTAGTTTGTTTCATACTCGTTTCTCGATTTGAATATGGTAAAGCGTGACGATGAGGATATTGTTACGTATGCTGGAAATGTTAACAGAATGTGTGAACGTTTTATGTTACATGATCTTTCAATTGATCGATTTAAATGTTTGATATTCGTTCAAGGCTTGACTTCTAGCAAAGATAAGGACATAAGGTCCCGAATATTGGCAAAACTCGAACAAAATTCCGAGATTACTTTGCAGAAGGTTACGGAAGAGTGTCAAAGAATTGAAAATTTAAAACATGACAATACGCAAATTGAAGAAAAAGACGATCCCGTGTCCATGCTATTCGACCAAAAAGGGAATAGTTAATAAAAACGTTAAAAACCAACATGCTTTGGATGCGGTGGTGGTCATTTTAAAAGTGAATGTTTTTTCAACAAAAAATTGCTATACGTGTGGCAATAAAGGCCATATAAGTACTCATTGTAAAAGCAAAAGAAAAAAAAATTAAGTCAAAAAAGATATTGTGAATATTGTGTTGTCACGTCAGGAGATTGAGCAGGGCAGAAAAGAAAATTCGTACAAGTAAAAATTAATGGAAAAATGTTAAACTACAGCTAGATACTGGAAGTGATATTTCCATTATTAATACAGCAACATGGATTAAAATAGGCAGACCTTTGCTTAAAAAGACTGAAAAAGTGGCTCGTGGGATTTCTGGAAGAAAATTGCATTTTCAAGGTGAATTTTCTTGTAATATTTCATTTGTTGGTAAGACACTAAAGTCTAAAGTGTATGTGCTACAAAATGCTTCAAATTTGTTTGGAACAGATTGATTATACTGTTTAATTTATGGGAACTCCCTATAAATTCTTTTTTGTAATAGAGTTAATGTTTCTTCTCGGTGTAAAAATCGGGTTACAGAAAATTTTGTGAAAGATCTGAAAATAAAATTTCCACAAGTATTTTCAGAAGGTCTTGATGTTGCAAAAAAGGCAAAGGCAAAATTTGAAGTGAAGGAAAATGTAAAACCTATTTTCAAGCGAAAAAAAAATGTGCCATTTGGTGTTTTGGAACAGACTGACAAGGAATTGGAACGGCTTGAAAATTTAGGAGTTATTTCACGCATTGAATTTTCAGAGTGGGCCTGCCCTGTTGTATATGTTAAGAAAAAAAAATAATAAAATTCGGATGTGTGCCAGTTTTTCTACGGGTCTAAATGATTGCTTAAAAGACCACACATATCCTTTGCCTTTCACCAGAAGACATTTTTGCAAGTTTAAGTGGAGGAAAAATATTCGCTAAATTGGATTTATCGGATGCCTATCTCCAAGTCAAAAATGGACACACAAAAGACATTTGAACCAATTAAGGAAAAGAATCATCGAAGAAATAAGTGAAGAAAAGGAAGAACCAATGGAGGTATTATATGATATATTCAAAAGCATAAAATTAAGAGCTTTTGTTCATATATGGTGAAAATGCGTAGCCAGTGGTGGTGATAAAGTGAGGAAAACTGTTCTGTAACTGAAAACTTGCTTTAACCAATAATGTTAGCTTGTTCCTTCTACTGTTGCAGTTTTCCATGGAAAGAAACTGAAGTTCTTACTGTCAGAATATCACTAACAAATATCATTGAAAGTATAAAAAAATACTAAAAAAAAAAAAAAAAAAAAATAGGAGAAATTTCAGCCACAAAATAATTGATTTCAGGAAAGACAAATATTATATCAGAAGGATGACAATGGAAGTAAACAATGGAAGGACTCTGGTAATTTCTTTTCTTAAATCTTTTCTTTTCTTATTATTTTGACCCAGAAAGAAAAAAAAGAAATTAAATATGATAAAATATTCAATAAATATATTTATTGAATTAAAAATATACTATAATGTATAAATTTAATATTATAAATAAACCCACATAAATATATTCATATATAAATATTTAATTATAAACCTAATATTATAATTATGTATGTTAATTAGATATATAAACTTAATTCTAATTAATTTTGATTAATTTGGTTTATTAATCTTTTTGAGTAATTAATTTGATTAATTAAATTATTAATAATTAAATATTTTAATATATATAATATATAATTTTTTATTATATTTTAATTAATAATTTATTAATTATTAATTTAATTAATTATAATTAATTTTATAAGTTTGATTAATACAGATTAAATTTACTATATTTAATTCTGATTAAACTTAATTCTAATTAATTAATTTAATTAATTCTAATAATTAATTTTATAAATATAATTTAAATTAAATTCTGTAAGTTTTATTTAATAATAAACTTAATGTTATATTGTAATTATTTATGCTAATCAAATATAAATATGATAATATTCAGTAAAATATGATAACTTTTAAATATTAAAAACAATTGAAAGATACTTTTTAGTAAAATTTTGTAGTATCTTATTCTTAACTCTTTTTGCTTTTTTTTTCTATTATTTTTTGAGGTAGCTTCTGTACAGTAAATACTGAAAGTAGACAAAATCTTATAGCTTGTTTTATCATCTTCCTTTGATTTCCATTGTGTATACGTGCAATTACTTTTGTTAATAACATGCATTAACTGTCATTTAGTTTAAATTCTGTGTTTTGTATTTCTTAATTTTACCTAGACTCACATGAGTCTGCCAAATATTGTTTAGAAATGTTCCAAGAGCAGTAAATATTTATACTGAAAAATGTTCCCACCTCTCAATCAAAGAGGCGATTCCTACAACAGTAGTGGTCATATGTCTGTTCTTAATAAACTTTTGTTTAAAAGATAGTTTTTCTCTCTTTTTCATTCTCTCTCACACAATACACACACGTGTGTGTGTGTGTGTGCACACAAGTATAGGTTTGGTGTATATGGAATAAATTCCAATAACCAAAAAATACTATTCTTAAAAGAGTGCTCAATACAGAGTAGAGCAAATATAATTTATTCGAAAATTATAACATGAATATGTTATAAAATCACTATAAAAATAGACATTTTGTGACATTCAACACCATCACTTCATAAGACACCAGAAGTGTTGAAGCAAAATGCCTATTTTTGTAGTGATTTCATAACATTTATGTTATAATTTTCTATTATATATATATATATATATATATATATAAAATATATATAAAATGAAGTGATGTATATTTTCTATGAAATTTCTGACATTCAGGCCAGTAAATATTGTTAATATTGTTTATTATAAACAGAGCATTTACTTAAATATTTGTGTCTATATAAATGTATAACAATATATTAATATATGTGTGTGTGTATATATATATATATATATATATATATATACACACTAGTTAAACAGAAATTTGACATCACAGAACAAACAGACTTAAAAATGCAGGACAGAATTCTTCTTTCGACCAACACATCATCAGAAGACGTTGGTAAATATTAATTGACCAAAAAAAACAACAATTCGCACTGTGAGAAAATATAAGGAGGGGAAAAGAGGAACCACAACTAAAATACAAATTTATTAAAACATTCTTTAAAAATGAGGAGGGGAAAAAAAGGTGGAAATATACACGCAAAAATCTAATGTACATGGTTCTAAGTGAGTATAAAATGGAAAAATTCACTCACATACCTCCTAAAAGACACAACGAAGAAAATTCTCTTTCTG